ATTGCTCAAACCAAGTATTTAATATTTTGTTTTAATTACTAATAAAATTACACATATTTTGGCATACAAAAAATGAACTTAATTAAAAAAATTCCTGGGAAAGCAAGATGTGAAGGCTTAGAGCCAAGCCATACATTGAGGATGCTTTTCTGGGCAGAGGGATCCTGTCCCCTGTAACATGAATCTTAAAAGGTCTTATAATAAAAAAACCTGGAGCCAGATATTGGGGTGAAAGCTGAAAGATCAGAGAAGCAGGACAAATCAGCCAGTAGTTCTCACCTCTATGAAATCCTCAGCCTCAAGAGAGTGAGTTCCTGTTTACTCACGCCTTATATACCTTTCTGTGCCCTGCCATCTTACCTCCTTCCTAGTGCTGGGATTAAAGGTATGTGCCACCACGCCTGGCTCTGTTCCCAGTGTGGCCTTGAACTCATAGAGATCCAGATGGATCTCTGCCTCCCGAATGCTAGGATTAAAGGCATGTTGCTTGACCTTTATGTTTAATCTAGTGACTGGCTCTGTCCTCTGATCCCCAGGCAAGCTTTATTAGGGTACACAATATATCATCACAGTCCCCTGGGACAGAACTCTGCCATAAAGTTGTTGTGGTAGCTTTGGGGGAGGTACAGATGCCCAGGCATGCAGGGGGGGCAGTAGAAATAAAAAATAAAAAAATTAAAAAAAAACAAGGGCAGATCAAAATGTCCCTGTAGAAAATGATGATGTCAGATTCGGAAAGAGTCCTCATGAGGGCAGATGAGAAAGAGGAAGCAGAGAGGCCATTGTTGGGGCAAACTAGAGGCCCAGGAGAGACTGTTTGCAGGGACAATGTGAGGATTCAGTCCAAAGTGGCCCAGGAACATCCAGATGGGAGTGTTTGCCAGCAGATGGAAACCTACTACTGGAATCTGGACAGGAAGTCAGCAGTGGAACGGGCTTGGCAGCTACTCCAGTCTTAACCTGGCGTCAGGCCTGACCTATGCAGTACTCAACAGAGAGAGAGAGAGAGAGAGAGAGAGAGAGAGAGAGAGAGAGAGAGAGAGAGAGAGAGAATGAGAGAATATATGTGTATATATGCATGTGTACATGTTTTTGCATGTGTATGGGCAAATGTGGGGGGGGGTGCACATGCCCACCTATGTACGAGTATGTAGAGAGCCAAGGTTGATGGTGGGGATCGTCTTCAATCATTCTTCTTTCTTCGCCATTGAGGCAGGATTTTTCAGTCAAGCCCAGAGCTTGTCCCTTATGGCTGGTCTTGCTAGCTAACTTGCTCTGAAGATCCCTTGTTACCTCCTTCTGAGGCTGGAATTACAGGTGGGCTACCATGCCTACCTGACATGCATGTGGGTTTCTGTGGATCCAAACTCTAGTCTGAGCCATCTCCTCAGTCCCTGTCTTTGGTTTTTCTAGCCCTATCTTCTAGAATGCAGACATCTGGTTTCCATGCCTAGTTAGGTCTGTTCTGCCTTTCCAACAGTGTTTGGTCCTGCCTTGATCATAAAGCCTTGGCCTTCCTGAGTTGGCATTCATTTCTGTCTTTTGCTTGTTAGATTTTGTTTTTTTTTGAGACCAGATCTCACTATGTAGCTGCCCCCTTAACCTTTTTTCTTTTTTTTCCTTTTTATTAAAATAGAAAATGGGAAATGTGGTGGTATTTTACTTGTACTGAAATGTGATTTTAATTGTATGTTAATAAATAAAGTTGCCTTTATTTATTAACACACACCTATTCATAGATGTGTGCAGGCAAGCCTGCCTGGCTTGAACTGCCATCTTTTCAACAACCCTACGATGTCTATAGTGAGACCACTTTCACTATTTATAACTACAGAAAGCAGGACATGGGGTCTCAGCAGACTGTGGCCTGCATGAAGTGGTTTCTATTTATAATTCATTCAGTGAATCACAGGTATCAGTGGCATTCAACAGCTCTGTTACAGAAAACAGTATCTATCTGCCAATGTTAAGGGATGACACTGGCCAGGGGTATCGGTGCCATTCAACAGCTCTGTTACAGAAAACAGTATCTACCTGCCAATGCTAAGGGATGACATTGGCCAGGGTTATGGTCAGAGTTTCAATCAACTCTTCTGTACTTTCTCTGGTAGGTTCAAGGGTGGGGCATCTTGAACCTACCAGAGAAATAATTGCATATCTAGCAGTTATTCTCTTGGAGCTGGGAGGGGAACCACCCAGCTGGCCGCCCACCAGAACGAATAAGCATTATGCCTGCCTGGTGGCCTTTCGCCTAGCGCTCAACATGCCCAGTGACAGGAGCATGTCACAGCATCCTCAGTGGCTTATTAAACAAAGGTCTGGAAGGACACTCAGGGAGGATGAAGAGGGAAGACGCATACAGCTTTGCTTTTCTCATTGATTTCTCATTCTGGGGCTCTGACTACATCAGATGGAGCAAAGTGTGTCGTAGCGAGTAGCAATGCACGGCTCTCGGTAGCTCAGAACAACAAGAGTTTATGTCTTGTTCTCACTCCCCCATCACAGGCTGCCTGGGGACCTCTCTCCTTCCTATGGTGTCAGGATGATGGAGTATACCCATTGTTGTAACTGTGCTTTGCAATGTCAGAGAGAACAAAATAAGACTTTGGGGCATTTTTCATTGGCTGTTAAGTGTTCCAGGATTCTCATAGAGTTTCCACTCACAGCCCATGGGGCCCCTTCCCAGCTGCTGGGATCTGGGACACAATCTTATGCTCCAAAGGCCAAGTAGTGGAAATGAGGGGATGGTGTAGAAGGGCCATGGTACAAGGCCAGTGCAGGTGGCCTAGCTAAGCTCCATCTGGTCTGGGAGGAATAAGGTCCTTACGTTGTCTCCTGGGGCTAAGGGGAGGAGCCTGCTCATTGTTTTAGATACTCAGAGGCAGTTGGAAGAACCATGCAGAATAGCAGAAGGATTTGTTAGCTTTTCTTCTCACCCCTAAAAGGCGAGCTGGCCTCTATTAAGTAGCTTCCTCCACACAGGGGATAGTGACAGGTTCTCCCCACTTGTCACAGCTTCCACTATCAATCAAGTCCCAAAGAAAGAGGAGCAGTGTGATTGATAGGGGGACATGAATTCTGAACTGTCATCATTCAGAGGTTTGCCATTGGCATTGGAGACGGGAATAGAGCTGTAATGGATGATTCAGGCCCCAAGTAGCTGTCTCTAAACATGTTAATTACTTGGCATAAGTGCTTGGAAGTGATGGTTACAAAATGTAGAGATGTGCGTGGCAGAGCAAGGCTGGCATGCTAGCTCCAATAATGTGGGCTTTCTCCCCGCATGGGAGGCAGCTGAATGATGCCCTGCTGGGTACAGGTGACACCGGCAAGGACAGCTTTGAGGTCTCTAAGGAGAAATGATGGGAGATGCCCCCCTCTCCTACCACACAATTGAGATTCATAGGCACAGACAGTGCCTGGTTCACCCCTGAAGTCATGACCCCAGAGGAATGATGCTTGTGCTCTGAGTCCAACCAAGCTCACTGACTGAGTAACTTAAGGTTAATGCAGTTCACTCTCCTCCAGATGGTGATAACAAAGATGGCCCCCAGTTACAAAATACATTTCCCCCATGTGTGCCTGTGTGTGCATTTGTTTTTAATGTGTGATTATGTCCTTATCTTCTACAGGGGCCAACTGGTCAGGTAGCTCATCTGCCTACAGTGAGAGGCTAAAGCCATGTTCTGTACCCAAGCAGATTGATCTGAAGCAGTTGTTTCCATCCATAGAAGTCTGGGGCTGTGACCACAGACCACAACTACCCATGCTATAGACATGTGTGACTAGTCAGACCAGTACATTTGGTCACATGTATTGGGAAACATGCAAAGCACATTGCAAAAGGAGATTGGAATAAGATAGACCTTGGCTGAGTATATACGTGTGTGTCAGGCGTGGGAGAGAACCCCATATAGATAGGTTGAGGGATGGTCTCTATGGGTGGGTCAGCAAACATGCTATGGCAGGGTTGGTGAGTTGGCTCAGCAGGTAAAGACACTTGCCATGAAGCCTGATTATCTGAGTTCTATCCCCGGGACCCACATGGTGGAGGGAGAGAACTGTTTCCCACAAATTTGTCTTCTGACCTCCACACATGTACTATGGCACAGATGTGAGCATGTGCATACACACACACACACACACAAATGTAATATTCTTTTTTGCCTTCCAGACTACAGTCAGTGAATTAAAACTTAAGTATTTCTTTTTTATACAAGTTTATAAAAGGGATCAGGTATGGAGATGAGAGGAGAGGATGGGCAGGGATTCCCTTAGAAACAAGTTTGAGATGGCCCTTGAAAGAGAGAGTTTGTTGGAAGGCCAGAGCATCTGTGAAGGTCTAAGTGAGCTGCACAGGCCGTGCACACACATGCTCATGTATGTGTGTTCTGCCTACATGAATGTGTTTGCACACCTGTAGCTTTCCTTACTGGAAGGGGTTGAATTCCCACCTCCTAGTTATCTTTAGCTTACAGTTCATTTATGCCACATGTGCCCACCCAGGAGAGGTGTCCCTCTTCCATCTGGCCCCTCTGAGTCTGAGCTTATCTCTCTCCCTTCACATAAGGGCTGCCTGTCTTCACCATTGCTACTTGGCATTTCTCTCTGGTTCTTCTTGACCTTCCCATCACCAGCCATTGCCTTTCTGTATTAGGAACTCCTGAGACCTTCCTGTATTGGGAATAAACACACCTATTAGCTAGAGGGGGGCACAGAGGATCCAGAAACACAGAGCAAGGCAGGTGGCAGGTGGCAGAGAACACTACTAGTTTTTCCAGACAGCCCATGTGCTGGGTAACCTCCTCCCTTTCTCCTAGGCAAGTGCAGAGGGCCTGTGTCTACTTGGGACTGGGTCTAAAACACGGAGCATTTTCCTGAAGTGTTCAGTCACAGGGAAGTGGCCGTGCTGCAGGGTAGACCTGTGCAGGGAGTCAGTGAGTGGGTGGGACGCTTCCTCCCTCTCACCAGGCCTGTGTGTGTCTCTGCTCCCTCTCCAGCTGGTGCTGCCAGAGTACTCTATCCACAGCCTCTTCTGCATCATGTTCCTGTGTGCTCAGGAGTGGCTCACCCTGGGGCTGAACGTTCCGCTGCTTTTCTATCACTTCTGGAGGTAGGTCTGTCTGTCTGTCTGTCTGGGATTGGGCCATCCTCCTTCAGTTTCCCACCCAATGACAGTGTGCCCAGATAGATCAGCCACTAGGTGCCTTTCTTTCATCCCTTTCTTTCAGAAACCTTGTTAGAGATACAATTCTGTTGTGATCAAAACTCTGAGCAAGGGACTTTAGGGAAGGTGACAGCCCGTTACTGAGGGGCAGGAACTCAAGCAGAAGCTTGAAGGCAGAAACAACGGAAGACTGTATCTTGCTGGCTTGCTGGCAGACTCTTGTTTAGCTAGCTTTTTTACATAACTCAGGACCACCTGACCAGGAAATAGTACCACTTACCTACAATGGGCTGGGCCCTCATACATTGGTCAACAGTCAAGACAATCCCTAGACATGCCCATAGGTCAGTATGACCTAGGGAGTTCATCAGTTAAGGTCTCCTGGGAGATGACTATAAGTTGTGTCAAACTGACAAACAAAGCTACCTAGAACAAACTTACTCTCCAGAGCTCAAAGTAAGACCTCTTGACTCTGTTAATCAACCCCAGTCATGTGGGGTACTGTGAAAAGCAGCTATAACATTATTCACTGTATCCAAAACATGGAAACAACATTGATGCGGATTAGCTGATGAATGGGTAAAGGAAGTTAAAAAGACACAAAGTACTTAAATGTGCTACAGTGTGGATGGGCCACAAAGAAAATAGAAGTTGAAGATATCACACCCAATGATCACACATTATATGAGTCTATTGATATGAAAGTTCCAGAATAGTCAAATCTATAGAGACTTAAAGTAAACTAGTTCTTTCTAAGGGCTGAGGGGAAACAGGACTGCCAGTGGGCAATTTTTTTTGAGGATAAGAGTAATGAAAATGCTCTGAAGTTAGATAGTGGTGATAGATGTACAACTCTATAAATACACTAAAACTCACTGAATTGTATATACACTTTGAAAGGGCAAACTTTATGATGTTTAAATTGTCTCCTTTAAAAAAAAGCACCTACCAGTTGCACAAATTTCCTGGGGGCAGTTATGATGTTAACTATTCTCTTCTAAGACTGGGCTTTGGATCACATGGTGTGGGTTTTCTGTAGGACAGATATGGAGCAGATATGGGAAATACCAGAGAAGTGGAGATTGTAATTGTGTGGCCCAATTGCCTTCCTCGAACCCTGTAATCCCAGAGCTCTGGACCCCCAAGCCAGTTGGTCCATCTTTGCCACTTTCCCATAAAGTATAGCTTTGAATTATCCACACCTAGAATATTCCACTATGTCACTAACAAATGTATGGAGCATATACTACTTTCTAGACACTGAGGGGGAATTTCTAGATGAAAATATGTATGAATCTTTATCCTAGGTACATCCTAGAAGCAGAAGGAATTATATTCTTAACAGGCATCTGAAGACGATGTGTAGGAATGTAAAGAAAGAAACACTTAAGTTAGTCTGAAGAGTGTAGAAAAATCCAGAAAAGCATGTGCAAATGCCCATAAGTGAGAGAACACTTGGCATGTTTGGGGGACAATTTTTATCTTTCCGCATGGTTGGACAGGGGTTCTTGGAGGGTGCAGTTGATGAACAGCTGGGAATCTCATATGGAGAGTTCAAGAAGATTTGATGGAGAGCTTGGGACTGGAGGGACTGGAAAGCCATGAGAAGTTCTGGAGGAGGAAAATGGCATTGCTTTAGAGCTTTAGAAGGTGATTCTGGCAGAGTGTGAAGGATGGGCCAGCAGAGATGTGTTGAAGTCAAAATCTAATTAGGAATACGACAAAACTCCAGGTGAAGAAATAAAGGAGACGAGATAATGGAGATGGGTCCAGGCCAGTGAAGTTGGCATGGAGAGAGAACAGAACTTCAGAAGTAAACTGAACAGGCTTTGGCCAATGGTTGGTTGTGGGTGAGAGAGAGGAAGCCTCTGAACTAGATGGCCATGATGGTGATGGTTCACCTCGCCTGTGAGAGCCCATCTGTGCCCTCTCCACCTCACACGCAGCCCCAGGCTGGATGTCCTCCCTCCGAAAGAAATTTCTCCTGAGGGTCTTTCAGTCACAGTCTGTCGATGAAGCCTAGCAAAATGTGGTCAGTGGCAGGGGAGGTGGCTCGGTGGCAAATCGTGTGCTTACTGTACACGCAGCCATGGGCTCTACCTCCAACCCCACAAAAATGCAGAAAAGGCAATCAGCTTGTGAACGCTGGATCTGTGCTCTATTCTTAGATCCAGCGCTTGTCCCAAGGGAGGAAAAGGAGAGCTGGCCATTGTCCCCATACCTGGAATGTCCCCGCACATGGAGGTCAGGAGCAGCCATGGTCTCATTGCCTGTAAAGACCTTGTCTTGGTTCTTGGATCCCTGGTGGCCTAGCCTACTTCCTCTTAGGAAGTTATCAGATCACAAAAAAACAGACAGACTGAAGACACAAGTCCTGAAATACCTAGAGTCCTAGAACACCCCCTTCTCCTCTCTTTTTCTTTTCTCTGTCTGCCCGCCCCCAAATCCCATGTGTTTATGTATATACAGGCACACGTACATGTGCATGTATGGAGTTCAGATGACAACTTCCAACGTAGTTCCTCATGTGGTACCATCTACCTGTGGGTGGTGGTGGTGGGTGGTGGAACAAAGTCCCTTGGTGGCCTGAAACTCACCTAAGTAGTCCAGGCTGGCTGGCCTGTGAGCCCCAAGGAGCATATGTCTTGACATCTCCAGCGCTGAAATTAAAACCGCACATCACCATGCCCAGCATTACCATGAGTTCTGGGTCCTGGACCGAGGTCCTCTGCTTGCAGCATGTAACAGACTGAGCTAATAGCCTTGACCTATCTGCCTCCCTTCCGTCAGGTCAATGCCATGCCATCTCTCTTGCAGACAAGTCTACCCTCACACTCACTCTGCTTCAGTCAAACCCGCCTGGCCACCGCTGCTTTTCAGTAGCTGTTTGGGGGAGGCTATTTGCATACATCACCTTCCATCGGCATCACAGTTTTCATCCCCGTTTGATGGCTGAGCCCAGGCTGCGTTGATGACTGACCCAGGGAAGGACAGCCTGGTGAGCAGCAAGCAAAAGAGTCAGTCTTAGTCCTTTCCACCAAGTCATTTTGGTCACCCTGTTGCTCTGCCTCCGCTTAATGAGGTCACCTGGGAACAAAGCCACAGTGACAGCAAATAGGTTTGAAATCTGCTCTGGAGAAGAGGGGAGGTGAGTGGCCTGAGGCCTGTGAGCTGGCAGCTGTCATCGAATCTGGCTTCTGATGTCCTCTTAGCATAGTGTCGGTGACAGATGATGCCAATGCAGTTCTCTGAAGGGGGAGGAAGAGGTGACTGAGACGCCAGCTCTGCAGGTGTCTGCCAACATGGCAGTATTCAGGTCAGGCCCATGCCTGGCGCTTCTTCAGGGCAGAGAACCGCTGCCATTCCAGGCCTAACAGGAGAGGCAGTCTGGACCTCTGCCTCCCAGGATCCTTTCCCACAGTGGCCAAAGAGCAGCACTTGGCCATTCCAGCTGCACTGGGATCTTGGGCTCCACAGGGAAGATGTGCCCTGCAGATGTTGGTGGGACATGAATTAAGAGCTATAGACACTGACGAGGGACCCATTTGTTATGTGATCTCTGGCCTTGGTCAGCAGCTGTGGGCTTGATGTGGCTGTGGCCTTTGATGAGGACCCTTACACATACAGTTGTCTTTCCCAGCTTCCCCAAAGATGGTCAATGCTCTATTTGCTTCTCTGGGCCCCTCTATCAAACAAACAACAACAACAACAAAAGAACCCATGCCCTTAATGATGACTCTATAATGTCTCTCCAAGGTATTTAGGAGTTTAGATGAGAGCCTGAGAAAGGGGCAAGCCCAAGGCACTTAGGATTCAAGGCAGAATATAGACACTGAGGAGGTGGGGATACAATTCTTCCACACCTGTCTGTACCCAAAGGGAGCTCTTGGTGCTTCCCAGGGATACCAGGCTATCAGAATCAACCTGAAGCAGGAAGGCATTATTTGGGCTCATAGCTTGAGGGAGTACAGCCTGCCATGGTGGAGAAGGCATGGTGGCTGGGGCTGTGTCCATGGCAGCAGGAACTTGTCCTGTTATTTGTTACATCTTGGAAGATGGAAGCAGAGAGCTGCGACAGGAAGTGGGACTGTTCTATAACTTTCTCCACTTCCTCCAGTGAAGCCCTACCTCCTACAGGTTCCATATCCCCTCGCCACATACATACACACAGCGCTATTAGCTTGGTACCAAGTGTACCCACACATGAGCCCATGGGGGAGAGTTCACATTCAGACCATAATACTGGGGGACATGTTTTCTTCTGCCAGAGCACTTTTATATGACACCAGAGATCTGTTGGAGGACTTAAGCACCCATCAGAAGGTTCTCACTTAGTTGCGCTATAGCAATGATTGGAATCTGACTTTGGCAGGAGGCAGATTTTCAAGGAAAAGTCCTATGCTCGGGAGCCTTGGCCTGACAGTGTGGGGAGCCCTGAGCCTCGGAGACATCACTACCATGTCCTCTTTCCTGCAGGTATTTCCACTGTCCAGCAGACAGCTCAGAACTGGCCTACGACCCACCAGTTGTCATGAACGCGGACACCTTGAGCTACTGTCAGAAGGAGGCCTGGTGTAAATTAGCCTTCTACCTCCTCTCCTTCTTCTACTACCTGTACTGGTGAGTCCCACCCTCCTTCTGGCTTCGGCCTCAGCAGCAGAGGGAAGGGGCTTCAGGCTGGCCTGGGAGAGCTAGCTTTCTGGGAGGTGGCCGATGACAGGAGGTCTCGGCCAGTTGAATCCGATCCCAGTTGTCTAGCCCTGACTCAGGAGCAAGGGTTTCTGGGGAAGGAAGAGGCCTCTGTGCACATCCTTAGCAGCTCAGGGAAACATCTAATAACATCCCTTAGCAGGCAGCTGAAGGACTGTCAAGGGCTTCTTCCCAGCAGGGCTTCCTGCCCTTCAGAGCCGGGCAGCTCGGCCCACTGGGGGATCAGTGAACCGAGGGGCCCAGCCTCATTACCCTTTGCCCTCAGCTTGTTTGCGAAGACTCTTGGGTACTGTAACAGTGGCCCTTCTCTCTCCAGTGGCAGTCACACCCCACAGAGTGGCACATTGGGTCATTAAGTGCTTATGCTGCAATTCTTCTGTGTTTCATAACTCCGTCCTAATTGAGCAAATCCTGCCGACTTTGCAGCTCCGCTTCCGGGTCCCCTCTCTTCACCTCATCATTTGAACGCCCTGGCTCAGCAGAGCGCTGGGAGCCGTCATCCTGTGTCTGTACTCCGGAGGCTCCCTGTTCTGGAAATGTCTCCTGCACCCTTTTGTACTCATTTCTGGGGACTTTTCCTGACCACCTTGCTATCTTTGCAGGGTCACAGATGTCCCCGAACACCCTGGTGCTGTCTCTGAAGAGGCAGAGGAGGGTGGGGTGCTAATTTCACAGCCACCCCTGGGTTCAGATTGGGTGTAGCAGGCTGGGGAGTTACACTGCCCAACGTTCAAAAACATTGGTCCCCTGTATTGTCGAAGGGTCCCTTGAGAGGGGGAGTGAGGAATTGGGAAATAATAGGAAGATATATAGAAGTAGATGAAGAAAAAAAGAGACACAGGATAGCTTCAGGAGGGCCCTGGGTCAATACCCAGTTGCCTCGAGTTTATTCATGATGGGCTTTTTATACATCAGCAAGTGGAGAAGCAAAAGACCTCCCCCTGTCAAGGTTGAGGTATAAAGTATCAACAGGTGTAGACCCTTCAAAACCCCTGGTAGCCATGCCGTTGGCCAAATCATCCTATTATGCAGCCCTGCTGGGCAAAGCAAGCCCAGACCTTCTGATCTTGAGTAAGGCCTTATTAGGGAGCTTCTGTGGGCCCCTACACTGTATGCATTGCCAAATTTATAAGATACATTCTGTCCTTACCCACATCTTTAAAAGGAGGTCCCTGGATCTGTGAAGGTAGAAACATTTCTCAAGGTCACAGATAATGGTCACACCAATTATGATTCAAAGGCTAACTTCAAACTGAGTACAGAACCCCTGGACAAGTCTTTATCAAAGTGAGGACCAGGGGATAGAGACAGGAAGCTGATTACAATGCAGTTGGCTGATGACTCCCAGGCCTTTCAGTAGGAATAGATCTACTGTCCAGACTCCTACACTTTGCAGGAGCTCCATGACGACTCTGCTACATGTGCTTGAGGTGGAACCTGGCACTCTGGAAGGCTAGCTTGCTCCTACTTTCCCCCTCGATCTCCAGGGTCAGCAGATAAAGAGGCCCAGGAGGTGTAGCCTCATGGTTCACATCAGCTATGAGGAGTTGGGGGGGGGGGGCGTCACAGAGTTATTCTAGTGCTTTCTCCATGAAGTCAAGGGTTACTCCAGTTGCAGAGTTTTATCCTTCATGAAGGGTCTGGATGCTTCCTGCTCCAAACCGTAGAAGCCTGAGGGCCCCAGGAGCCTACTTGGAGAAGCTGAGGTGACCAGCAGCTCCCCTAAGTCCTTTTGGCTAAAGGCTTTAGCAGCTCCAGCTGGCTGCTATTCCAGGAGACTGCAGAGGGTTGACAAAGCTTGTCTGAAGGCAGAGGCCACTTACAGGTGGAGTTTCTTCTCTGGTGTGAACTCTGCCTCATTTTCTTCATGAGGCTACAGGCTACCTTCAGTCATGGGCTGAGTGGCCTGTCCCCAGATAGCAGCAACCCTCTTTAAAGGAGAACATGGCTAGGCCTTCCCTGGCTCCTGGCCCATTATCCTGAGATCCATCTTAGTTTGGGAGACTGTAGCAGGGCCCTTCATTTTGGGTTTGAGCTGTTGGAGCCAAAGGTAGAGGAATTCCCAGAATTCCTGTCTACTGTCTACTCTCTGCTGGGCCATGGGGCTACGTGGACAACGTTGGTGGGTCTGGGCCCTTAGCTGGGAGTGATAATTCTATAACTAAGTCCTTCATAGGCCATTGAACTTTCTGTCTCTAGTCTCAGCGAAAGTTTGCCATGGCATTTGTAGCACACCCACGGCTTTGTCTTCCAAGCACAGTTGCACACATCACTCCTCTGCCTTCCTGCAGCCCATGCACCAGCTCAGTGTGCCTGCATTCCTCGCTGCACCCGACATCAGAGTGCCTCTCGTGTTTTCTAGAAGGCCCCATTTCTTCCACCTGGGGAGTTCCCAACCCCAGACCCAGAACTGGCAGAGAGTGCAGAGCCCTCACCTGGGCCATGTTAAGGGATGGGGGATCCATGCAGAGCCGCCTCTGAGCTGAGTGCGGTGCTGGAGACACTGAAACTGAAGCCAAGGACCACTGGACAGTGAGGTGTAGTTCTTGAGGCCTCAGAGAGCTTGAGAAATGTCTCCAAGCCCAAATAATGAGCCTTGTTCTACTGTACTGTGCTAGCCATGTGGCTCCCACCACTGTCCCCTTCTCAGAATGTCCTTTACGGGTTACATGGGACAGGGATGAGGCTACAGTCAACCGGGTGAGTGAGTCCAGTGTAGACAGTTTGCCTACTCAGTAGGAGGATCTTTTTTTTTTCTCTCTCTCTCCTTCCACTTTGCATTCTCCTTTCTTTTGTGACCCCCTTTCTCCTCCCCTTTATCTATGCTCTCCCCATTCCCGTCTCTTCCCTCACCTCTCTTCTCCTCTCCTCTCTTCTCCTCTTTCCTTGCCCTGGAGAGTAAACCTAGGGTCCCACCCATGCTAGACAAGCAATCTACGACTGAGTTACATGCCCTCAGCTCTTTTTCTGCTCATTTGGAGACCTAGTGCTGGTGAATCTCCCTGGCCACCCTTAACCTTGAACCTTTGGTCTACTGAGCAGCTGTGCCACCAGGCCTGGCTGGAAAGGTTCCGAGTGTAACCCTGATCCACATTATTCACCGAAGCTGCATCATCCCATTACTTTGGGTCATCCTGGTCTCGCCTGGGCTGCTTTCTCCATGTCTATACTTACACTGTTTATGGGTCACTTGTCTCCGATGGCAGAGAACTCATCTGTTTCCACCTCCTCTATCTCTGTGGCGCCCCGCCCAGTGCACACAGCACAGAGTAGGCATTCACTAAATCCATGATGCTGGTTGTTGTGGCTTGGCTGCATATTCCCTCATGGTCAGGGTTCAGGCCACACGCTCACCATTATTTCCCTGCGCTGAGAATGGTGCTTGGTACGTAGTAGGTGTTCAATGAATCCCAAATAAAAGACTCACGATAAGTTAAACAGGGTTATCCATAATTAGGCTCAGTCCACAATGGGCAGAGGACTAGCTTTGGAGTTAGAATGTGGTTGATCTGTCACGAGATGTTCTGTGAGAAGCCATCTGTCTAACTCCAGACCCAGCCATGTCTGGCTCTAGATGTGAGACTCCAGAGGAGCCCAGTGGTTTCCCCAGTTGTGCAAAGGTTAGAACAAAAATAGTTCAGGTGCTTTTATTTGGTTTTGCTTCTTAGACATTTTGTTAGAGTTAGGGGAGGGGGTCTCTAAAAAAAAAAAAGCTGTGTTTCTTCCTCTTCTAAATAGACAAAAGTAGTAGACTGTAGTTCTGGTCAACCCATCCACCTTGCAGAATCAGCCTGAAGTCCTTGTCCGACCACAGAAATGCAGGTCCTCCTACTTGGTCACTATTCATCCCCTAAAGCAGGAGGTTTGGGGACCTGTACCAAGCAAGTTAAGATTCGCTTATGTTATTTGCCCTGAGGGCTGTGTTCATGCACCCACGCCCGCATCGGTGACAACAGTCTTCATCCTGACCCTTGGAACTGACACATTGTGTAGCATCACCTGAGGACCCTTGGACACAGCCATCATGTGAGCATGTGACAGCAGCTGGTGGCATGAAGAATCTGCTGTGCCCTCACCCCATAGGCACCTGGACCATAATTGCAAGAAAAGCGATGAGCCACAGTGATCATCCCAGTGATGTGTGCTCACAGGCATCCAAAGACAACACACCTTTCATGGTGGGGGGGGGGGTGTCATGGGATGCCATCCTAACAGACAAACATTTCTGCATTGTGGGGTGTAGCAAAGCCTCTGTAGGTGAGTCGGAGACCATAGAGACAGGAATGAGGTGAATCCATGGGCTCCAGCCTTGGAAGGGGACTGTTGAGAGCCGCAGGCTCCTCCTGACATCTGTTCTCCCATTTCTGTTTGCATTCAGCATGATCTACACCTTAGTGAGCTCCTAACTCCTGCTGATGGAGAGGCTCCGGCTGGGAACCCCTGCAGCTGTGGCTGGGAAAGGACCAGATGGGGATGATGGAGACACCCAGCTTGGCAGAGACTGATGGGAAGGAGCTGGAGTCACACAGCAGACAGGGTCATGTGACCCATGGGTGTCCGTTGTTGCTGTGTGTGTTGCTGCCTTTGCTGTTCACATCCCACATGGATTGCAGAGCCCCTCTGAGCATCGGGGGTGCCAGCTTGTAGCTGATGAAACACTCAACCTCTGGAGATGCGGTTGTTGCTTTTTTCCTCCACTTCACTGAGCATCAGTACCTTGCAAGTACCTTGCCAGTTCACATGGAGTGCCTGCCTGGATGGCGGGAATGAGGCCAGAAGCTAGAAGGTACCAGTCAAGGGACAGAATGACTCAGGGCCAAGGCCAGATCTTCAGAGATGATTGAGACCCTCAAGGATACCACGGGCTGCCCAAGACTCTTGTTCTATTTTTTCCAGAGCTATGGCCTCATGCTTTGCTCACTGCAAGGCCAGTGGGGTCTGCCCTGAGCCCACTGTCACGTCATTTTTAGGCCCTGTTTATGTCCAAGAGCCTGAGCAGTGACTTCCTGAGCTGGGTGTGGGACAGCACATTGGCAGCAAGCTTTGCCCAATGTGAACTGGGGAGGGGAGTGTGAGAAAATGGAGTCTTTAAATGTTTGCAACATGTCCCAGGTGTGAGTTCTTCACCATCCCAAGATGTGTCCTGCCACGGCACCAAAAATCCATCAGAGTCATGACATGCCAATCAGCTGGCTGGCATGAGCCAAAGCCTAAAATAACAAACAAACCTCCAAGCAGTTTGAAGTCCAGAAGCAGAGAGCTGCTGTGTACAAGGGTATGGACAGCCAGGAAGTGAGACACCGTAATTATCACTTCAGTTGATGCTGCACAGCCTTTGTGCTGCTCAGTTCAACGTGGGGACATCTGCTTATTTGAATTTTCCACTTGGCTTTTGCTCCTTTTTTTGGGTGGGAGTTGTACGAGGGGGTGTAAATAGTGACAAGGCTGTGATTTTTATGATGCTTAAATTGGGCACAATGATTTCGACCTGATTCCCCAAACCTCCTTGCTTTTCTACTGTTACACACACACACACACACACACACACACACACACACACGCTATTTATATGTGCTCCCATCTGAATCCTGTGACTCAGGTTTTTGAATGGTGTTTGTGTAACACATTGTGTGCTATGTTTAAAATGCAGCAACAACTTCAACGACTCACCTCACCGGCTCTCTCATTTCAATCCATCCCGGGCTGGATGTGTCTCCAGATGGCTGGCAAACTAGAAGGCAGAAAAAGCAGTTTCAAAACGACACGGTGTTTCTAAAAATGCTGCAGAAAACAAAATAGGTAGAAAAAAAAAATAAAACTCACAAGGAAGAACAGAAACAAAATGCAGATTCCCTGGGGCCCAGCACTATAAAACCATACAGAGCCTTTACAGGGAGGTGGGGGGAGGAGGTTCTCCCCGGGCCAGAGCCCTTGCTACTGCTAGGTAACTTGTTGAGGCTGCATGACCTCAGCTGGGTACCATTCACAGGATGGCTAGTTATGGCCAGCAAGCGGTGAAGTCTGGGTGGCAGGTGCAAAGCTAACTCCATCACCATCTTGTAAAAAAAAAAAAAAACCAAAACAACTGACATGGAGAAGGGAAGGAAGGGGTCTGTGTGCCTCTCAGGGTGGGTCTGTTTCCAACTTCACCTTCTTCCAAAAGGGCTTGAAGTAGTTTTTGACAGGAGACACCAATATCAAAGATTGTTAATGTGGAATCAGGAAATTCATACGCCAAGGCTTTACATTTTATACTTTCCTGGCACACTGAATCCTCCACAAAATCCAGTTGTTTTCTCAGTTTTAAAGAGAGGAAACTTTGAAGACCTGATTTTGAACCTGAAGTCTGATTGAAGAGAACATGCCCCTTCTGTCCCTTTAGCTTGGGGTCCTGCCGAAGTTCAGTGGCTAGCACTGACTTTTATGAGGAAGGATTTGAAAGCATTGAGCTTTAGAGGGAGTGCTCGGGGGCATGGCTCTCTTTCAGGGATGTGAGCAATTCTTCCCATAGGCCTTTAACATGGTAGTTCTTACCTTTCTGAAAGAAACACATTCGAACCTTTCCCCTGCCATCAATTGTGATTGGGAAATAAGTCCAGTGATATCACAGGAGTTACAACTAATTTTCAGTCCCCCAGGAGAAGCTCATTTTCCTGATGGTAGAAATAAGGTGGATGAGCTATTGATGGAGTGCAGGTGTGTGCCAGGTGCCTCCGTAAATGAGAAGAGCTGCTTGCAGACCTGCACAGCTGGTCAGGGGCGTGGCTTTAAAACCATGCAGGCTGCTTCCCACGGAATTTTGCTTGGGCGGCTTTGTCTCTCATTGTATGCCCCATGAAAGGAAGGAGAGAGCAAGGCAGGAGAAATGCCTCAAATTTCCCGGAGCCTCAAGAATCCAAAGGAAATGTTTTTGTTGAGCAAGATAGCACCCATGTACCAAGCATAGGTCAGGGTGTTTCAGGGGCATAGCCTGTGCGTGAGCTAGCCTGGAGTATGGGCCCTGTTTCTCTGAGGTAGCCCTATGTGGCTGTGCTGTGTGACCTGGATGGTGGTGAGTCACTTAAGGTCACCCTTTGCTAAGGGGAGAGAAGAATGCCAGGCTCCCTCCTGGCCTGCTGTAAAGAAGGTGTGACTTCACGTCTGGTGTGCCTGGTAATGGTGAGTACTCTATACAGGAAGTTCTGCCCTGGCATCTACGTGCTACCCAATGCCCCTGCTTCCTGCCAACTATTTGATATATATCTCGTTTAGTCTTCACAATGATGTTATGAAGGAGGAACTATGAATGTCTTCATAGTCATAGTTGAAAGCTTTGGTACAAAACTTACAGAGGTCAAGGACCCAGGCCAAAGTCCTACTTGCGAAGTTGCCAACCAGAGTCTTTCTGCCTCTAGGGCCGTGATATTTTTGCATTTTCAAAAGAGTGATGCAGTGTAGGAGGGGTGATGGGATGTGAAAGATAGAGTGATGATGGACAGGACAGGAGCTGAGGAGCAAGCCTCATGTGTCTCACGGCAAGCAACCTGGGGTGCTGGACTGCAATCAGAAAGACAGTTGGCGAATTTGTGGTGCTTAACTTTTCAGAGACGCCGCTTTCTCGTCTGTCACAGAAGGTGCATACCGCCTCCATGGGTGTGATAAGTCAACTGTGTCTGGAGAGCTCACAGCAGAGAGCCTGTCTCTATAATCTTGTCCCAGAAAATCTCATTTCCTGGTCCTCCCTGCACTGCCCCTCCCTCCTCCCCACACTGCCCCTCCCTCCTCCCCACACTGCCCCTCCCTCCTCCCCACACTGCCCCTCCCTCTGATGTGCCAGAGGATTATGTAGGAAAAAAAAAAAAACCTAGATGTGTCTCATAGTAGCAATTCTCAGCGAGTCTGTTTCCTTCCTGTCCTCTCTCCTTCCTGGGGGTGGGGGTAGGGGTAGGGGGTGGCGGTGACAGTCCCAGGCATGCAACAGGGGTAACAACTCAGCCTCAAGAAAAATACCCCCTCTGCTCCCTATTTTTAGGCTTCGTAATTGCACCAATGTTGAATAAAATTGTCATCATTATGACAGTTTTATTCTCCCACGTAAGAGATGAATGCAGCCAGCAAAATGCTTTGACAACAATTAATTGCACTCACACTGTGTTATCACGCAGATCCATTTTATAGCCCTTTCTTGGGGGGGAGGGGGACTTGGGCTGCTCTGTTCCACACTGTGCTCTGGCATGTGACTCTGTAGAGCCTTCCCTCCCCTGGTCCTTAGACCCAAACGGGCCATCTTCCCCACGGCGTCCGCTCCAAGGTTGAGCCCCAAAGCGAAGCATGGGAGGTAAGGAGGGAGGGATTCCAGACTGCTCTTATGACAGGACTCTCCCTGGGAGATGGAGCTAAGCAAGGCAGAGCTTCTTCAGGAAGCTGATGGGCATTCCTGGGGAAAGGTAGGGTCCCTGTTTGGGAAGAGGAATGTTCTTTCCTCACAGAGAACTGCATATGATGGGATGAGAATGTCCAGCACATTCCTCACAGCTCTGTTAGTGCAGGAAGACCTCAATCAGAACTAGGGCGTTGGGTCTCAGTTGCTGCTTATGATTCAGAAACAGCCACAACCAAAAGACAACCTCCAGACATTGACCAAAGGCTATGTGGCCATTCCTGACACCTCCCACACCCCATGCAGTTCTTCCCCAACATTCCTGGATGCCCCAGAGAGGCTTTTCTATGTCTTGAACTTGGGCCCTTGGTACCGTGTGGCAACCATGTTTTCTCCTTTTCCAGGGAGCTGTGTATTTGATGTGGTTCGTCAGGGCTTACAGGAACCAACTGTTCTGTTTTATAGGGAATTTGCTGGCAGTTGTTAAATGCAGCCACTGTTAAAACCAAAGTTATGTAAGCTTAGATTACTTACGCAGAAGACAAAGATGTGTAGTTACAAGCCCACTTCCTAACATACATTTAGCATTCTGTGTGCTCTGTTAAGTGCTGGCTGTCATATTTGTGGTAGAAATGTGGATGCCATGTGATTGTGTGCTCCTGTTCAGCCTTTCCAGCCTCCAGTTCACTGATGTCATTAGTACCTGGACGTTGCCCATGATGAAAGCGTTGACATCACAGAACTTGGCAAATGCACATGTTAGATGTCCTGCTCTCCCCGCCCCCAATCTGAGTGCGGGCTGAGCACTTACTATCAGTGCACCCTGGTCTCAGTTGTGTGACCACATCCTGGGAGCCAGTAACCAAGGCAACCATAGCTGCATCTTTAATGCAGCGGTGGATATGCAGTGGCTGCTGGGTCTGGGGTCTGGGCCCCTGGTGGCACTGCCTTCATGACCAGGCCTGTCATCCACTCTGGCTGGGACACCAGTGATACTGCCACTGTTGGCCACTTGAAATGACGGGGGCGGGGGGCGGGGGTTATCGGCCAGCCTTCCATGAATTTGACAGCTTATAAAGAGAAAGTTATTTTTGTCTCCTGGGTTTATTTGTCTCCGTGGTTATTCAGCCCCGTCCGTGCCTTTGGGCTTGTGGCAGCACATCGTGGTGGAAAGTCCAAGACAGGAAGAGGCTGGGGTCTCGGAGCCTCTTCCAAAAGGTTCTACCGATTCTCAGTGGTGTCACCCTGGGGACCTTTAGGAGATGCTGAATGTCCAAGCTACAAGTCAGGCGTGATGACACATGCTTAGAATCCTAGCCCTCTGAGGCAGGAGTAGGAGAATCATGAGTTCAAGACCACCTGGGCTACACAGTGAGACCCTGCCTTTAAAAAGAAATGAAGTTCAGCCACAGGAAGGGCAGCCATTTAGGGTGCCCAGCGCTGCAGGGAATGGGGCCGGGGCGGAGCTAGGATCAGCCACACCTATCTGCAAAGCGTGAAGACACTTTGATCCGCAGACCCTAGTCCCACTTTTCTCTGCTAACTTGGGGCCTTTCTTCTTCTTTGGAGGCAGGTCACTTCAGGGTCCCCATTCAGGTGGGGTCCATGTCTCCTCCTGGAGTACTGGGGTGAATAGAATCATATATTGCTAGGTAATGTTCCTCCCCAGGGGAAGATGTAAGCAGCATCCACCCTCCTCCTAGGAGCCAACCAGAGTTTACTCTTGGGGAAACCAATGAATTTATTGGGCTTCCTTACAGAGCATAGGTGAGGGGTTACTTTCAGGAGTACTCCACCCCCAAAATGCCGCACCTGAAAAGCCTTTATCCATCATGGATGAAGGCTTCCCCATAGCCATTGATGGGACCCCCTTACAGTAGTCAAATTGCTAAACAGTCTTATTAATTTAAAAAAAAAAACATCCAGAGCCAGATATTGGGGTGAATTCTGAAAGATCAGAGAAGCAGAACAAGCCACAGCCAACTCGACTCACCAACTCCTCAGCTGATCCTGTTTCCATGAATCCTCAGACTGAAAGCTGCTGAGTCCTCACCTGAATGGATCTCACCTGAACTGCTGCTAAAAGCCTAAAAGCTTAAAAGCCTCTAGTTCCTGGTCCTCACGCCTTATATAACTTTCTGCTTCCTGACATCACTTCCTGGGATTAAAGGTGTATGTCACTATGCCTGGCTGTTTCCAGTGTGGCCTTGAACTCACAGAGATCCAGTCAGATCTCTGCCTTCCGAGTGATAGGATTAAAGGTGTATGCCACCACTGTCTGGCCTCTATGTCTAATTTAGTGGCTGTTCT